TCGGCGTCTCGCCCGGCGTTGACGAGTTTTTGAGAAACGCCCCCCGGCCTCGCGCGGTGTGGCGGTGTGGCGCTGCGTCCTGGAGGGGAGTCTGGGCCGCAGGATTACAGCGAGGACAGGCAGGCCGAGGCAGGCCGAGGCAGGCCGAGCACGGCAGCGGGGGCTGCATATTCATGAGACAGCGCGCCGCACTTCTTCCGTGCCTCCGCCAGGACCGTCCAGGACGACCGTCCAGGACTCCAGGAAGACCGTCCAGGACGTCATCGCAGTGCGCCGCTGACGTGCGAACGCGGCGACGTCCCTGTCTGCGACGGCGCGACATCGGCGACGTCCCGAAGGCCGTGGGGCAGGCCGTGCGGAACTAGGCCGAGAAGCCGCGCGAAGCTCCTGCCCAAACACAAGGAGCGCTGTTCCAGTGTCCCCCGGTCCTCCTCCCACCTCAGCCTCAGCGCGGCCGCGCGGCCACTCCAAGGCGTCCGAGGCCACAATGATAATCCCCCGGCCGTCCTGGCGGCGCGCTCAAACGCAGCCGCGCCTCTGCCGCACAGTGGGCCAGAAGACCGGTAGAGGCGGACAAAACACTTGACGCGTTTTGAGCTCCAGAGTCGCTAAAGAGGCCTCGAAACGAACGCGTGACCCCACCAATGGATTCCTCGTTCGGAGAGCAATCCATTGGTGGGGTCACACGTTCGGTTCGAGTCCCGTTTAGCGACTCTGGAGCTCAAAACGCGTCTAGTGTTTTGTCCGCCTCCGCCGGCCTTCTGGCCCACTGTGTGCCCGGCCTCTGCCGGGCCTCCGCCCTGGACTTAGCGAACGGCGCGCAAACAAAGACGTGGCGCCGCTAATTCCCGGGACGCCCCTCGGCCTTCCCCTCGCCGGCCTGGCCCGGCCTGGCCCCATATGGGGCCGCCGAGACCGCGCCGTGGGCCGCGCTCGCCTTGCTCGCCGCCCCTAGTTAGCCTTTCCTCTTGTAGCGCGGCGGGCGGCGCTGGCGGCGCTGGCGGCGCTGGCAGTGTAGCGGCCGGGGCGACACGGCGGCGGACGTTTTCCCACCACATTGTTATTGTGAGAGGCTTCCTGGCCGGGAAAATCTCCGGCGTGTGTGTGTGTGTGTGTGTGTGTGTGTGTGTGTGTGTGTGTGTGCGCGAGGCGGGGAAGGCCTGACTCGAGGCCTGGCTCGAGGCCTGCCCTGGTGGGCTCGCCGCCAGGGCCTCGACAACTTTGAGACTCTGGGAAGTGGCCGAGTGGCGCGGCGCGCAATTGCAGGGCGTGACGTGGCGGCTTGGCTCCCCCCCCCCCCTCCCTCGTGATATTACTCCTGTCATAACCGCGGCGAGTAAAAAATGGTTGACAATCAGTGAAGGGCGCGGCGCGGCGGCGGCGGCGGGATCTGGAGTGCGAGAGGATGAGAAATTGCGCGGAAATGGAGGCTCGTCGCACCGCGTCGCACGTACGCCCCCGCCAGCGCCGTCAGGGTGGCCGGTCCGAGTGAGGCGATATTTATCAGTGGGGCGGGACAACATCGCCCGAGCGGCCTCAGCACACCACGGCACCGCGGCCGGGCGGACCGAGAGCAAAGATTCTGCCTAGCGGGCAGGCTGAGGTTGGCACCCCTTTCAACTGCGGCGCATCGCGGGGGCTTTTGCCTACTTGTGTGGCAACACTGGGTGGTGGTGGCGCGAAACAGGCAAAGCTCTCCAGCAAATTTGTTCCAGGCGCAGCAGGGCGGCAGGAAAGAGAGGAAAGAAAGAGAGAGAGAGGAAGGAAAAAAAGAGGCGCCGGCTGACAGAGTGAAGCGGAGTGGAGCGGAGTGAGGCTACACAGGAGGGAAGAGTTTGCCCTCCACTTGCACGCACCGTTACACCTGCAAGAAGTGGCGGACAAAGGGAAGAAATACGGTGGGGTTGACAATGGAGACCGAGTCTTAGCGCCCCTCCAGCCAGAGCCCCGCCAGCCCCGCCAGCCCCGCCAGCCCGGCCACACTAGGCAACTTCCTTCTCCATAAATATCCCTGGAGGTCCTCCATTAGGCTGCCCGGGCTGCCCACCAGTGCAGCGCCGCGCGCCGCCCTCGCAGGGTCTTCTTTTTTTACTCCGTCGTCGTCGGGTCGTCCGCGGCCAAGGGTTGGTACACTGCATGCCGCGGCCCGCGCCCTTCGTTTCACGGCCGCATCAAAGTTTGACACCTGCTTGTAAAAAAAAAAAGCTCCCGCGGCCGCGGCCGGCGCCGGGACGCGAACCCCGGCCGGCTCGGCGTGAGTGTAAAACGGGAAAATTGGTTCATGGCATCGCGCGCTCCGCGCCTCGCTCCGTGGCGTCGACGGGCGTCGACCTCTCGAGTCAGGACGACACGCTGGCCGACGAGCCGAGCGTGGCGTATGCAAAAGGGAGGGTCCTAGAACTACAGATAAGAGGAAGCAGAGAAGCGGGAGGCGAAAGACCCTCCACCGGCGTGCTGTCCACTCCCCCCCCCCCCCCCCTGATTGGAGGGGAAGGGGAGGGGGCCCTGAGGGGTCGGAGGTTACGCCCCGCCGCTCCCAACAATAGTTCGCCCTCCCCACTGATAAGACAGGAGGGGGGCGGAGGGTGCGCTCAATTTTTACCGCGCAGCTCCCCTGTTATCTCATATAAGTCGCGGCGAAGTGGGAAAGAGAGAGGGGGGAGGGTGCGTGGCGCCTGACGCACCTGCACACATTAAACGACACTTTGTGTCACGCGGGCAAAGTTCCGCGAGTCATAAAAGGGCGGTATAGTTTTCCCCTCCGTCGGTAATACCGACCGAGGAAGTAGAAGAGGGGGGGGGGGCACTTGGTGGTGATGAGCGAGTGCAGTGTCGGAAGCGGGCAGGCAGGCAGGCAGGCAGGCAACCAACCCCGCGCAACTCGAAATTAGCATTCTGCGCTTGAAAACGTCGACAAAGTCCTAATTAAGTGACGCATTTAGTTATTTCGTCAACACACAGTGCGAGGCGGCGCGGTGGCGGCGGCAATGCGAACAGCGTCGCTCCGTCTCTCTCGCACCCGCAGGCGGCGCCCCACGAGTCACGCATGAGTGCGAGAGAGACGGAGCGACGCTGTTCGGAATCGGCCCGCCCGAGGCCGCTCGCCGACGCAGCCGAAAGTCTTCCCGGAGACAGGCCGTGCGGAGCGGGGCGGCGTCCTTTCTGCAAATATTTGGCCCTTCCCGGCTCTTCCAGAGGAGCAGCCCTAGTCCTGCTGCACGCCGTGGCCGTAGCCCAGGCCGTGGACGAGACCCCCCTGAAGAAGGCGTCCGACTGCGCCGCGGCGGCCGTGCCCTGCCCGAGGCCGCCAAACGGGCCTTGCCCGAGGCCGCGAGGCCTTTCCTGCCCTCGCTGTCATCGCCGCCTCGCGAGCTGCTTCCAGAACCGTGCTCCCTCGCCGTCTCTCTCGCACTCGCGGTGCGCCCCGCATTGGCGCGAGCGAGACAGAGCGACGAGGCACTTGTTCGACGGCAGCCCGCTGCACGTGCCGTCTCACTAATTAAAACCCGCGGCCGTCGAGACGAACGTCGCGAGGGTTTCATCGGCATCGTGTCACGGCGGGGAAGCCCCACACTACAGCCGAGCTGGCGGAAAGCCGAAGGGGAGCCGAAGGAGAGCCGAAGGAAAGCGTGAAGGCTGCGGCCGAGCGCCCGCCAAGTAGGCAACGTCTCCTCGCGACGCGCGGCTGCGCTGCGGGTTGCCTACCCGCTCGAACACAGGCGCTTTTTGCTCTGCCCGCCTCGCTCTGCCGCCGCCGTCTCGCGGACTGCGGGGACCGGAACAGACACCAGACTGTCCATTATTTCTCCTGAGTACCACCAGGCCTGAGGGCCGGCGGTGCCTGGCGGACAGGGCTCCGACGGGGAAGGGACGGGGATTGTGGGCGAGAAGTTCGGGAAGCTGGCCCGGTGAGCATTCCCCCCAGGATGACTCCTTTGCGCGCCATCAGCGACAGATTGGCCTGGCTCGCCTGGCTCGGCCTCATCACCATCACCGCCAACAAGTGCGTGCCGGCATCAACCAAACATGGGCAAGGCCCCGCCCCGCCCCCCGCTACGTGATCCTGGAGGAGAGGGCCGAGGAGAGCCGAGGAGGGCACACAGGGCGCCGGGACAGGACAATGGGCTCCTTAGAAACTAGGAGGGGCTCTCCCTCAAAGGGCATAATTCGGTAAGGGCTGCAGCGTTAGCGGCCTGCCCGGCCCGGCCCTGCCAGTGTCTACCAGGGGGAGGGGGCACGTCGGCGGCGGCCGAGAAGGCCGAGCCATGGCCGCAGCAGTGGGGCACCACCTTGGACTGCAGCGCGCCGGCCATCGGCCTCCCTCCAGGACATCCAGAGGGTTGCCTTTCCCGCTTTCATCCTTCCCGCCTCGCTCCTGCTGGACCACAAGGAGAGGCGGGGCGTGCCCAGAGGCGTACCCAGAGGCGTGCCGAGGCCGCAACGCACTGACCGTAATAAAGTTTCAGAAGCACTGATACGGAAAACCGTAAATCCTGTTTTCAGCGGAGCGGCGGAGCGGCGCGGGCCATGCCGGACCAGCGACCCTGCAGGGCGGCGCGAAGCGCGAAGCACGCAGCGGGTGAAGAAAGCACGCGGGAAGAAAGGCCAAGGGGCGAGGGGCGGCCGACGCAGCCAGAGCCTCGGGGGCTCCATTGTGTGCCTGCCGCGGCGAGCTGCTCGGGGTTGCAGGGTTTCAGTGGACCGATGTGGGCAACGGGTGCAAACCGCGTGACCCGACTCACCTAACGGACTGCCTTCTCTTCCCGATTTTTGTAGCAATTTTTATTTTCCATTTTGATAGTGCTCTATTGAGTGAATTTGTGACGGTCCAGGGTTTAGAGAGGAGGAGAAGAAAAAAAAACGCTATAGCAGTAAGTTTTTTGACTTTTTATTTTTATTTGTAATCCTCAAGCAAGTTAGTTAAAATGACAAAGACAAAATAGTATAAACATAAAATGATGACAACACACTACAGGGAAGAACAATAAATAACACTCACAATGAGTTAAATTTTGTTTTGTTACAGCACGGTTATTGAAAGAGAAAACATAACTTTTGTTCGCCTGCATTACAGATCTCATGAATTTCTTAATCTCCATAATAATACTGGTGTAATAAACATGTAATTAGATTAGATAGTTTATACACAATATAAATAATGAATTTGTTTTCTTTAAGAAAACCACTTTAAATGAATAGTATTCAACATGTTGACAGGTTTATGGAGAAAATTTAGAGTGGCCCTACATTCATGCCTGATTTCTTAAAACAAAAATCTTTAGGGTACACCAAATTCTTAAGAATTTTTTTATTGTCACTTTTTCATGACAGATTGATTTTACAAGAAAAACTTAAACAGTTTGTAATTTTAAAATTTTGTCTGTCTTAAACTTTCTTACAATATGTATCACAGTATCCATGTTTGTGCAGGCATAAAAAAGAACTCAGCAAATTGAGCAGAAGAGAATATGAAAAAGAAGTGGTATGGAATCACTGATATTTTTAGAAACAGTATTTCATGCAGGTTGAAATATACCTTCAGAAACATAGTAAATACAGTATTGATGTGAAAAGTTCATTTACAGCCTGCACAATAAGTTTGGCTTGCTACCAGTATACAAAACACTACATTATTCTGGAGTGTTTGCAGTTGGAGTCTTGGAATCTTCTGGATCAGCATCGTCTTTCAGCACGGCAGCAGGCATGGCAAAAGGTGGAGGTCTGTGTAACGAATGTAGTGGGGGCCTGGGTTGTGCAGGTTTGAAAGGTAAAAGTGACCCAAACAGTACATGCTGAATTACAGGGAACTTTGATAAAACCTAGAAAAGGCACAAGGTTGTTATTTTATCCCCAACAAATTGCAAATTATTTGAATAAACTGTACACTAAAGCCATACATACCTCAGCTGTGTACATTTTAAGAAGACCTGTATTTATTTTAGTCCATGTTGGTACGGCACTTATGTTCCACAGTTGGTTTGAGTGTTCCGCAAATTGACCAGTCTTCACCTAAACAGACAAAATTTAGAATTAACAACAGAAATAAGTTGTTGATAAAAAGTGATAATAATATTTCAATACAGGCCAATGTCTCACCTTATTTATAAACTCAATACAACCAATGAACATGTATTCCTCTGTATAGCTATCTACACATTCTTTTTCAAGAAACATTTTAGGTTCTATGTGCCCTTGTCCTGATGGAACAAAAATTAGATAAACATTCACCAACTAAATTATAATTACTTTAAAAAACATGTGAGGGAGAGGAAAAAGATTATTCTTACCAATTAACTGTGAACTTCCCCAAATGAATGGAACAAACTGATAATCATCCAAGCTCCATACACCATGACTTCCAGCAGGTTCCATACGGTAAGTGATTTGAAGCTTACGCACCAGTGTTAAATACCTGATAAAGATGAAGAAAATTGTGCAGTATTCTTAATTCAGTTCCTAACTAGGTAAGATTCAAATGAAGAATAAAACAAGTACCGTGCAAAAATCTTGTTCACAGCAGCTACTTTGTCTGTTTGTGTCAGAGCACCGATCTTAAAGAAGCAGCAGAGTAGCATTAAGAAAGACATTTCATGGCCTGTGCCATAATCTATGCGTGTGCCATTGCCAAAACCATTGACAAGGTAGACAACTAACTCAGGAATTGCATTCTGGTACTTAGCTGGTAATGCCTCATTTAACAATTCCTCTGCACCCTGTAGAAACAAAACGAAAGGCACCGTGAAATGAAAACTGAAAATATTGGCTTTTTTTTTTTTTTTACAATAGAATGAACTTAGATGGCTTCATGGCTACCTCAGTCACTTTTTTAAGCCACTGGGCAAATGCTTGATTGCCAAATCGCTGAGGTTGATCAATGGGAGGAGTTTGATCAATCCACAAATCAAGTTTCTCTAAAAGTTCCAAGACTGTTGAAACAACCCCTGACATACTACATGATGCTTTGTTAGATTTGTTCTTCACTGCCATATTGAGTGCGTTGATGAAACCCATGTATTCCTGTACGAGCGGAGAAACATCAATGTGATATTCAAACTTGTAAGTCAAAATTAATAGGCCTCAAAAAAAACTTAAGCTCAACAGAAAAAGTTACCTCATAAGCCTCAGACTTCAGCCACTTCCCCATGTCATCATTGGAGTTCACCGCTTTCACCGGAACAATAAACTCGTGAGTTTGGGGATCTGATAGAAAGAAACAAAAAAGAAATACAGTTTGATTGATTAGTAAACAAGCGTGGATTGATACAAAAGTAAGAAGCCCTTCACGTTACTTTGGTTAAGAAGTTGATAAAAAAAATTTAGATCAAAGGTAAAAAAAAGAAAAAGACATGTTAGGTTAATCAATAGAACTTTTCTGCTATAATGTCCCTGTCTGAAACTGTCATGAAGTGGTCAGCATTGCAATCATACCTATGGCACTCATCTTGGAAAGTGGACGTGAGACAGTAAACTGAAGATTAGATTTAAATCCAGCAAATGCTATTCAATCCGAAAACGTCAGTCGGCGAAACCACAGAGTAGGCATCCACCGCATCCAAACATTCGGCCCGAAGGCTCCAGACTCCTGTCAACTGTCAACTCTTTCTGCTGTCAACTTGGCCGTGTTGACAGTTTTTTATTCTGACGAGTTTCGGTCTTAAAACAAGTTTGTGGTAGCAAACTATGTGCTTTAAAATTAAATCGATTTATTTAGATACGTACGAACAAAATGTAATGGCAAATAAGTCAAATTAGAAGCAAAAAGAAAATGACCTTTATGGACCGGGTTCCTACTCACTCGTGCCGTGCCATCAAACAAGAACGTATTCGTCGCCATTTCTCTCAAGTAGACGGTCTCAAAGAACCAAATATTTTTTTCGTTGCGATTTAAACGCGAATATCCTGATTTTTGGAATCAATTTTAGTTGCTTTCATCATCTATTGGAAGCCCTTTTTGTGCTTTCGTTCCGTTGGGCTCTTTTGGTGCGCCGGGAGATGGCGTTGCCTCAGAATCCCGCGTGATGTAAGTTGCGCGTAGGTAAACAGCAACTCCAATGCCCTGCTGCAAGTGTCGCCTCTTTCGCTTTCCCAAACTGGTCTTTATTTTTCGGTGTGAAGCATTCTTTTGGATGCTTTAATTCTCGATGGAAACTCTGCCTCTCTGCGTGTGAGGCGAGGCAGCCCTTGCTCCATACTCGAGCGTGGGGGTCCTTGCCCCCGCATTCGCGTTTTAACCTCGACGAGTCCTCGACCGCTTTGCGTGTGGTCTGAGCTTTTTACCCCGAAGCTCCTGTTTCATACGTATGCACATTTTCACTGACTTTGCCTTTCAATCATTCGCAGTTCTGCTGCGTCGTTGAGATTTATGCCTTCCTCAGTCCATTAAATCGCCCTTCCTCCTGCCACTAACATTATAATGAGTCAGTGCTAATCAATGCTAATTCCTTTTATTTTAAAACAGATTCGACGGGCCTTTTAATTTTGCGACCTTGTTTCTCTCATTTGTACGCCCACTCACTTTTCTGCTTAGGAGTGGCAAATGCCACTTTTCTACGACCCCCACCCCTTGTCTTATTGTTTCATCTTCTGGTCTGGTATTGGAAACTTCCAGCTATGTTGTGAAAAAAGAAGCACAATTACTTGCAGTTATACCTTGTTGTTTCAAATTATTCTTCACTTCTTTGTCAAGTTTTATTTTACTAAGATACCAGACACACACATCTGTGAAAGAGATTTGTCCTTGGTGTATTGTGTGGGCGGTTGTTGTTTAGTAATCCACCTTAGCTCAGCTCTTTTCTCTCCTTGTTCCTTACAATAACGTTCTGTTGTCATTATGTTCTGTTTTTACCTCTGTGATTATGAGAAATCGCAACTTCCTTCCTCATATACCGTATTTGACATGATGTACAGTATTGTTTTTCAACATGTATTTTACAAATTATACTTAGTTGTCTCATTAGATCAGAAGAAATTATTTAATGTCTATACTGTTAGCTAACTGGAACAATTTTTTATATTTTTCTACTTAAAAAATAATCTTTATTTTTTTGCATTATTGAAAAATATGCATTTGAACTATTAGTTGACAGCTCCCAAATCAACTTTTCAATATTACCGATTTTAACAATCTTGGCAGTGTTCATCCCTTTGAATAAATTGCCTCTTCCAATGAAAGTTTGCAATCATGAACTTCAGAATCACTTTCAAAGCTGAAAACAAACATTAGTCTGCTGCTCTGTCAGTATTATAGCTTGTTGTGAAATGTGTTATTGGTAGAAATATCTCAAAGAAAGAGTGTATCTGACCATTTGGACAATGTGTTTTCAGGCCTTCATGGTATGACGTACCACAGAAACAGGCGCATTGAAGTTCAACCCACCCCCCTGGGCTATTGCACCGGATTCTCAAGATATCACCTCTCCCACCTCCTCTTCAACTTCTTTTCCGAAGAAGCAACAACGTAAGTTGGGCTGCGACAGTGCGTCACTCCCCAGCGCAATGTTCACCTTGTGTCAGACAACATATGATTTCTATTGGAGCATTCCATCACGCTCGTCTTCAACATCAACTGTTCCGTGTATAAAGAAACGACTGTGGCGTTTTGCATGGGGCCTCGGTGCCCAAGGAGGGTGATTGCTTCTTTTCTCGAACACCCAGAAGTGGCTATCAAGAAAGTGAACAGAATGGGCTTTGGGCCCCGAATTTTTGATATTATTGACTGTCACGTTGTGTGTCCCACACCTTGCAGAGGGGATTGACTGGCTCCCAGAACTGAGGTGCTGCATTGCTGAGAGCAGGATATGGAGTTCCCTGAGGACCCATATACCGCGATGGACCGGCAGAATAACAGGGACTGGTGAGTCACCTTGGTTTTTTTGTTTTCTTTTGTTGCTTTTTTTTTTAAATTTTGTGTTTACCATGATGGTACACGTTTCATTCACCTCATCATAAATTCCCTAGGACTACTGAGATTCTTGTCATGAATTATAAGTACGTTATTTGTGATTTTTTTATAATTTTATTTTTTAATTGATCTGTTGTAGACAAGGGCTTTTCCAAAGACATAGCATATTTCTTTTTATTATTCTGTTATGTGACCAAATTGGCCCAAGTATCACAGGAAATACTTTATACCACTAAACTTTTTGATCTTATTATTAGGTTTCACTTTTTGCCTTGACTTGTGTTTTATGCTTAAAGATAGTTTCAAGTTTCAATATGCCAGTAAATACAGCAGTTTTGACATAAGGATGGCGCTTGTATTGTTGTCATTGGTAATTTTGCTTTTTTGGCAATTGTCATGACATTGAAGATGTCGTCTGATTTCCTCTGTAGTTCAGAATAGCCATAATGTGGTGTTAATTAAGTTCGAATTCTGTGTAATGAATTGATTTGCAGGTAGCCTTAGTCATCCTATATCAATCTGTGCTATTTATCAATGTTAATGATAGGTCCTGCCAGTTTCCAAAATTGTGATGCATGATGCACAATTTCTTGCATGGAAACAAATTGAGCAGAGTTAGTTATACTTTCAGAGTTCAGTATATTCATCATCACAAACTTGGACAAAGATTCCACTTAGTGTGATCTGCCATTAACAGTAATTTATTTAAATTTACCATCAATCCCACCAATATCCAAACAGTTTCACAATATGGACCCTTTTTTTTTTTTCAAACAATTGTTTGAAACCAAATTTCTGAGTTATTAAGTATTAAGGTAAATTGGCATGGTAGCTGAGTTTTCAATGACATCTGCCAATACAAGCACTGTATTTTAATATATCTTTCAGATTCATGTAGAAGTTTTAGTATGCACTATCACCATTCTTAGTATAGCTGTTCCATAATTGTTTTGGCATGTGATATCCCACAAATTGAATCCTATATTGCAAACACTTTCTGCTACACCGCACCTCATGTTCCTATCAAGATTTCCTCCCACAACAAAGGGAACCAATTTGTTCCCCAATTTGTGCTAGTTAAATTATGAGACATTCTCTTCCATCCGATCGCTGAAAGAATGACCTAATAAATGAAAATGATTTACGTAGTAGATCCCAAACCAAAACTCAAAAGAGTTGGTTTTGGCTGCTATTGATTTGTTGTCCTTTGGTGAGGCAACAATGAACAATGGCATTTTTCTTTCCGTACGTGCTGAGATAATTCAAGCTCTTCTTTGTGCAGGGAACGTCGACAGTCTCGTGACAGAAGTACCCGAGAAGAATTCACTAGTGCCCAAGAATGGGAGGAGGATGACAATGCCACAGATCGTTGGAGCCAAGATCGCAAGCCAGAAGATAGAGACAGGGAGCGTTACAGAGAGAGAGACAGAGAACGCTATCATGAAAGGCGAGACCGAGATCGAGACAGAGAAAGGGACCGAGACCGTGACAGGGACCGTGATAGAGATCGCAGAAGAGATGACAGTAGAGACAGACGAGAACATCGACGAAGGGACAGTGATGATGACTCCAATGATAGAAGATCTAAGCGAGAAGAGGATGGACATTCACCTAGAGACATGGATCTGGACAGCACGTAAGTTCCGTTCCTTTTCTACCATGGTCCTGACAGTTTTTGTAATCCTTCTGAACTTAACTTCTTGCAATATTTTGATTCTTTAGTGAGAGTGATCCGTCTGGACAAACGAACTGGGTTTCTGACTGGCGCAGTAACTCAACACCTAACAACACAATTGTCATCAGGGGTTTGGCTCAACATATAACTGAAAATGATGTAAGCATTCTAAACTTATTATGCGCTTTCTAATCATGATCATAAGGGTATCTTTTGACTTTGCTTCTCTGTTTCTAGATTCGTCAAGACTGCATGCAGGGAGGTGTGACCCCTAAAGCCATTCGCCTAATTCGGCGCAAAGATACAGGTAATAGACCGTTAAAAGCAATCATCAAAATTAATGCACTGCATGCTGTCCGTGGGCACTAGTCTTTAGTGTGATCTTGCTTCCACCCAAGTGAAGGAATTTCGTTTTCCAATTTGTGCTTGTTTCATAGACATTACAGGTTTTCTGGAAGTTATTTCATGTCTCATCCTTTCCCCCTCCCATGTCTGTCTGCTTCATTAATCCCATGTAGATACCTAAACAAATTCACTGTGACAGTGTTAGTTTGACACTTTTAATTATAATTGGGTTGGTTTCTTATCACTTTTTCTTGCATTCACATGCAGTTGATGATAAGGAAATAACTATCAAATATTCTTATCTTTTCTCCTCACCTCTTAGAACTTTGCTTTCCTATCACCCCAGCCTGCTGGCTCCTTTTGCCCCTGAAGTAGACCTTCTAAGGTAGTCAATTCATTGGTAGCCTGTTGCAAGGGTGGTCTGTTTTATGTTCATTTCATTCGACACATAGGGGCTACCAACCAGAATTGAATACTAAGACTTCTTATAATCCAAATCCAACTTTGGAATTGGCCTCAAGTATGTCACTGTTTAAAATAGCTGAGTGTTAGACATTAAATTATCGACACATTAAAATGGTTTTCAAAGCATGAAAATTTCTTAAACTAAATTGTAAATTGATTCTTTATAAATCTGTTGTTTTTGTTTTCTTTTTCAAATCATTATTATCATTATATTTTTTTATGGCATACTTAGTCAAAGCACTTAAGTTGTGAATGGAAGCATGACTGAGGTGTATATGTATCAGGATTTGGTAAGAAGCGTGTCTGTGGGCTCGGTCTACGGTTTGTTAGCTAATTTGTTGACTTGAGGAATTAACTCTGCCTTGTGTTGGTCCATGTCTGTAGGTACATCAAGAGGCTTTGCTTTCGTCGAGTTTAACAGCACCCAGGAAGCTTCTCGGTGGATGGAGATGAAACAGGTATCCAAATGGATTGTTCCACTCCTATCCCCGCTCTACAACAATGGCCCCTGATCCGGAATGATGCTGTGGTGTTAACAGTCAAGTGCCATAAGTGAATGTCAGGAGAGGGATGTTGTAGCTTTCCGATTCCTCTTCTGATCCTGGTCCTGTCACGTATGAGAATTTAACTTGTGGTCACAATTGATCAATCCAGCCAAGCTTTCATGAGCTATGTTGAAGTGGAATGTCAAATGTTTTCCTTCTATGTCGCCATTCATCTCCTTCCACATCCCTTGTCTCTCTTTCCTCCTGGTTGTATCATTTATTTATATTATCTTATCCTAATGTCTATGTGAGTCTCATGTGTAATTAATTGCTGATCTTTACTTTCACATCATTCATAGAAACTTTATTTTTCTCATGAATTTGAATTTACTTTTTATGGTAAATGCCTTGGTTTTTTAGTAAACACTCAGTGGGCATCTGTTACATTGTGGAGTATTCCTCCACGTCTACTTAAGAAAACTGGGAAACAACTGAAGTTCTGAGGTTATATACAATACACATTTAGCCGATGCTTAAATGTAAATTATTTTTTATTATTTATGAATCTTTCTGTGTGGTTCAGAATTTCGTAAATGCATGCATGCGGTCACATTGGGTTAGTCAGGTGTAACTGGATAGGAAAAATTTTTGCTTTTTCCAAGCAAAAGCTGATATAATTGCATTGAAGAGTTTGTCTTGTTTCAATGGTACCAGAGTTTATGTTATTCACATTTTGTTTAATATTGTTATCTTTTGTGGAAACTAAGTTTATTAATATTTCTATGAATGTTAGTCGTGGTCACTTGCTTCGGCACCTTGACCTAGACTTAAACTTACACTGTAAGCTGTCTTCAGCTCACGGCCTTATGCTTATGCATGACTGTATTGTGGTAGTGTGCCACAATAATCTGTTACATTTTTATATCTTAAAAAGCCTTTTAAGAAGATTTATCGGTTTTTGTATGGTAATTGTAAGCGGTTGTTTTGTATGTGTGTGCAGGGTGTTCTCATGTTGCAAGATCAGTACCGAGCTGTTATGCAGTACAGCAAAAATCCTCACGACCGTGTGGGCGGCACTCCTGGTAGAGTCATGGCTCAAGACTGGAACTGCATAAGAGTTAGTTCATTTTGACAACAATAATGCTTGCAAGGAGGTCTAAATAGGTTTTTAGGCTGAATACTAATGTTTTGTTTGATATTCCAGTGTGGTGGGCATAACTTCAAAAATAGATCAACATGTTTCACTTGCCATGTTCCGCGTCCAGAGGCAGAAGATGTGGCTGCCTCAGCGATAGGCCTTGAAGAAATCAGCCCAGTACCTACAAGCAGTGAGTACTACTGCAAATTAACAAAACAAATTGCAATGTGGACTCAGGAATGCTGTCAAATGTGTTCTTTCTTTCTTTGAAGTGTTTTAACATTGGTTCCTTATATTTTTCCCAAGTCCAACATTTCTCTCTAATACCTAAGCCAATGTGGAATGTATGTAGAGTTTATAATTAACAAATAGCTTTTGTTAAAGACGATTAGTTTTATGTTGACAATCCTGTGTAATGAATACCCTTATATCCTTTAGTTGTCTTGCTCCTTTGACCTATAGTCTTTCACCGTAATATCCCTTTGGACGGGAAATGAACCATGGCATTCTGTTTGGCAGCTATTCTTCTGCGGGGGTTGGAACCCATGTCAACTGAAGACACTGTCCTGGCAGCTATAAAACCCTACGTATCTCTAGTTCCCCTTCGCAGTATTCATATTGGTCGAGATCCTCTAACAAATCAAGCTCGAGGTGTATGCTATTTGGAGCTTCGTAGTGTTGTTGACAGCATGTTTTTGTTCCAAGCACTGGCTCTCAACCCCCCTGTGATAGATGGTCGAAGAGGTAAGGAAAAGATCTCACTTCCCATCTCGCTAATAAAGTGCATTGTGTGATATCTAAATTCACTTTCAAATTGATTTCTAACTCCAGTCTTCAAAACGAACAAACAGTTTCTTTCTATTTTAATAACACACCTGTCTTCTGTCCTTTTGTTCTTTGCTAGTTCTCGTATCATACTGTAAGATGATTGGTGTGGACGTTAATGCTGCCTTGGCCATTTCGGCTGCCAACTCTGCTGCTCTTGCGGCTGCTCAACTGAACCACCATCAGATGATTCTTCAGCAACAACAAGTTATGGTAGCGCAGCATCATCATCAACAACAAGCAGCTGCGGCGGCTGCCATTGTGGCACACCACCACCAGCAGCAGCAGCAGGCTGCAGCCGCCGCCCTACTAGGCTCAGGCCATGTGCCTGGCGCCCAGTATACGCTGGAAGACGTACCCCGGTTAGCGGAGTATTCTGCCAATTTGTATGCTAACACTCCTGAGGAGAGAGCTGCATTTTTACAATACTACCAACAGTACTATGCAACACAAATATCAGAGGTATGCAAAGGCGTCTATTCAGTAAGCTCAATTGCTGCTAGAACTTCTTCACCCATTCATGGGATTTTATTTGTGCTTTTTGTTTTTGTTTTACAGGGTGCGGCAATAACCCTGCCTGTCCAAGTGGAGGGAGGTGCAATGGCTGCTGCGGCAGCGCACCAAGCTGTGCTTCAGCAGATGCATGCCGCGGCTGCTGCAGCTGCCGTGGCCGCTGCAAAGGATGTATGTTAAATTGCCTTCTTTCTCTTGTGGGTGATCAATTGTGCTTTCTATGCTCACACAGTGAATGTGATTGCTTTCGCTATTGTAGGATGAAGCTAAAAATGAGCTGCTGAAGAAATTAAAAGGCGCGGACATGCGATCAAAGGCAAGTGTTGGAAAATTGGCTGTTGAGCAAGCTCAAGCTGCAGCTGCAGCGCAAAACCAGTCGCTGTCCCTGCAGAGCTCAACAGAAGGCGGAAAAACGACTGGACCTCAACCGCGGAGGGAAGTGGTAGACTTTGCCAACACAAAGCATTGTAAGTATCTGTTGGATTTCGCACTTGCTTACAAATACTTCTATTGATACTCGTTCAGTGCTAATCTCTTTGTCGTTTCTTCTAGCACCACCCGATGTCAGCACCTACCAGTATGATGAGAGCTCTGGTTACTATTATGACTCAAGTACTGGTCTTTATTTTGACCCCAATTCACAATACTATTGGAATGCACAAACACAACAATTTATGTATTGGGATTCTGAACGCTCCACATACCTCCCAGCACCTTCTGATGGGAATGATTCTCTTTCCAATGGAGCTAATTCAAGAGATGATGGAAGTGGTAAGAAGGATGGCAAGAAGGGTGAAAAGTCTGATAAGGTCAAAGTTGCCAAAAAAATAGCTAAGGTGAGCTAATTTGTTCAAAAATGTACCTCACTCTTAAACTTTAACCAGGCTTTTTCTAATGATCCCTGATCTTGCATTTTATATCAGGACATGGAACGCTGGGCTAAGTCACAAAATCAGAGGAAGAATATGAATCAAGCAAATCTACCATCTAGCAACATCCCAGAAAAGAGTGGGGCAGCAGATGCTGGCTTTGCCATACTTGAAGGCCGGTCAAAAGTTAATCTTACAATGGCCAATCAGGCTCCTATGATGGAAACTGCAAACCACTCTCCTTCAAGGGTGAGTTTGGTATCTTTTTGACCTCATCTAAATCTTTCTAAAGCCACTGTCTGACTTCTTTACTTTTATTTCTCAGGCTGATCCTAGCAACATGGGAAACTCAAGTAATAGTGCATTAGTTGCTGCATATGGAGGAGGCTCTGAATCTGAAGAAGAAATTGAAGATGTGCAACAAGAGGAAAAGCAACATATGGACTGGTCTAAACTTGCATGTTTGTTATGTAAAAGACAATTTCCTAGCCGGGAAGCTCTTAGTCGCCATCAACTTCTCTCTGATCTCCACAAACAAAATCTAGAAACTTGGTATCGGTCTCGTGGTCTAGACCCCAATGACCCTCAGCAACGAAACAATAAATACCGAGACAGAGCAAAGGAGCGAAGGCTGAAGTATGGAGAACCTGATAAACCAAATCCAAACCGCCTTAAGGTCAGCCTACAAAGTCATTGCAGTATTAGCATGCTTTTGTGTCAAGTGAACAATTTTTTAAAACATATTGTTTCATTTTTCAGGAAAAGTACTTGAAATCAAGACAGGATACTGGCCCCGCTTATGAGGAACCAACTAAAGCCGGTATAGGCGCTGATAACAAGGGAAACAGACTTCTTCAAAAAATGGGATGGCAAGAAGGAATGGGGCTAGGAAAAAGCAACCAAGGAAGAACAACAATCATTCAGGCAAGTGCTCAGGGATCATTTGGACTGGTTATTATTTTCCTGCCTAGAAATTGACTTACTGTTCTTTCATTTCTATTTGCAGGCTGAACAGAGAGTATCCACAGCTGGCTTGGGATCCAAACAATCAACCTACACTCCTCTTCCTGGTGAAACTTATAAAGACTGTGTTAAAAAGATGATGTTTGCTCGGTATCATGAGTTGTCAGAGCAGGAAAATGGTGGCAGTTGACCCACATCCTCCTCTTTGAACTGAGGAATGCCAAACTATTCTCTTCCGTTGTTTATTAATTTAACTAGTTAATTGTCCTTCCCTTTTTGTGACTGACTGAAGCCATAAGCCCTTGTATTGTATGTAGTTATGTTTGTGTTTTAATTTCTATATCACTGCAATGTAATCATTTTGAATTGCAATTTTCTCCCGCTCATGAATTTTCTGAATCGTTCATATTCAATGAGCAGATCCAGTAAACCTAGTTAGTAAATTTTGTAACATTCTTTTTTTGACTGTTTTGCTGGCTCTTTTACATGATTTAGGTTGTCATGTATACACACATGTTGATGGTAAACTGGGAATAGTCTGAAGTTTTGAAACAAGTAGTATTCAGCTTTGAATGATAAGTCGTATGACACATGCGAAAACAAAATAATTGGTCATGCTTTTTAAAATCACATGGCGTTTTATAACAAGTCAATGTATAAATTAACAGGTACCGACTTTGATGGGTGGATCAAATCCAATTGAGGTCAATTCCAATTTTGTTTGAGAATTCAGTCTTTGATAAAAGAACAAGAACACATTAGGAGTGGAAGATTGGACATGATTTCAGACAGAAAATTCGAAAGAGGTCTCTGTAGGTGGGTAGGGCACAAAGTGACCACTCAAAAGAGTCAACAGAACTCTGATGCAGGGGCAGGGTAGGCCACCGTCTCCACACCGGTGCGTGTGCGTTGGGGGACTGCCAGGCGCTACAGGCCGACAAGCTCGCGGCGCAGGAAGACGTGTCGGCGACTCACAAGCTGACGCTCTTTGGCCGCAAACGTGTTCGAAAGGTGGGCGGAGGTCTCAGAGCGACAGCCCGAGGCCTTCGCCGGGCTTGTCGAAGTAGATCCAGACGAGGCAGAACAGGACGCCGGCCGCCATGACGATGCCCGAGCACACCTGCAGCGACGACAGCACGCAGCGGCGGTGGCAGCAGTAGCAGAAGTACGACAAGTACGAGGGGTGCGTGCGCGCCAGGCCCGCCAGGCTGGACGGCGAGGTGCGGTAGAAGGCCAGGCCCAGGAACACGCCGCTCAGGGCGCCGGCACAGTGGGCGGTCACCCCGATGCGCGGCGCCGCGTTGCCTCGCTGGATGGCGTGGTGCGCCGTGTAGGCCATGTCCGCGCCCGTCAGCAGCAGCACGGCGCCGGCCCGCGTCTTGGGGTAGCGCACCGCGTCCGAGTTCTGCACACAGACACTATCAGAGACAGCCGCGGGCACGGGGTGGGGCACTGGGAAGGACAGCGGTACTCACGAGTAGGATCTGCGCCAGGTGCGACATGAGGATGGCGTAGATGCCGGCCGACGCCCCCACCATGTGCAGCGTCGGGGAGATGACGCCCGTCACCAGGGCGCCGTAGACGGCGCCGCCGAAGAACACGGCGGCCACCCGCAGCGCGCTCTGCTCCCGCTCCAGCGGCGCCCCCACGAAGCTCTGCACGCCCACGTTGAGGCCCACGTGCATCTGGCAGGGCAAGGGTTAGCGTTCGCGTCGCTCCGTCTCTCTCGCACTTGTAGGAGAGCGCTTACCTGGCCCGAGTGCAGCATGGCGTAGGACATGGCGCGCCAGGGCTCCTTGAACAGCCGCGCCTTGTCCCACACGAACCTGTTCTTCATCTCCTGCGCGGCGTACGGCGACGGCGCCGCGTACAGCGTCACCTGCACGATGCCCAGCGCGATGATGAAGTAGGGGATCCGCAGCCGCAGCAGCACGCCGAGGGCGGTCTTGTACTTGGAGGTGGTGGCGGCGGCCGTGGGGAGGCACGCCCCGGGACGGCGGGGCGCCTCGCCGAACTTCCTCTCCTCGGTGGGGGTCAGCACCAGCAGCTGCAGCACCGAGCTGTCCTCCTCCACGTCCGGCTTGTCCTGCTCCCCGCCGGAGGGCTGCCCCGCCAGCAGCTGCAGCCGCTCCCTGCGACACAAGACAGATTAACACCCGTTCTGCAAGTTGCAAAATTTCCCGAATTCACCCCTTGGCACTGGACTCACAGCAGTTCGCGGGCCGGCCGCCGCGCCTCCTGGCCGTCGAGGTGGCCGTCGGCAAGGTGGATGGCGTCCACGGCTGTCGGCGGCGTGGCAGGCTCGGCGCCGTCGTGCCCCGGGGAGAGGGACGCGCGCGACGGGCCGCTCTCCAAGTCGTCGTCGTGGTCGTCCGGGACGGCAAGGACCACCGTCTGCAGCAGGGTGGGGTCGTCGCCAACCCAGGTGCTCAGCGGCGCCGTCAGCGTGCGCGCCTGGAACACGCGGAGCGAGTTGCAGCGGCTTTGCCCGGTGCATTTTAATTCACCGCTGCGGCTGCACTGTTTGTCCATGCTTACCGAGGTGTCCCTCCTGTCCGGCTTTCTCCTCGCTGCCGGGCTTGATCTGCTACTGCAGTTGAGGCTGCGGTGCGGGCTGCGTGGCGGACTCGGCCCTGGACTTGGTGGGGCGCTTGGTCGAGGACTTGGCGGTGGACTCGGACGTGGACTTGTTCGGGGACTTGGCCGAGGACTGTGGCGCGCCGGGGACGCGGCCGCCTCCTCGGCGCAGTCCTCGGCGGCCTCCTCGATGCACAGCCGTTCGCAGTCCTCGCCGCGGTCCAGGAGGCTGGGCTGGCTGGCGATCTTCTCCACCAGCTTCCAGAAGCGGTCGCACGGCCCCGTCGGCGGCGTGCTGGGCGTGGCGGTTGTCATGGACCAGGCGAGCGCGGATGACAGCGCCGCGGCGGTGACGGGGTCCTGGAGGTCCGGGGTGTCCGGGGACGCGGCGCGCAGCCGCTTCCTGGCCGGCGACGTCCACCCGGGCCATCGCTCGAGCAGCTCGCTGCGCAGGGAGCGCTTGAGGACGCGTGGCGGCGTTCGGCGCGCCTCCAGGCTGCCGCTACCGGAGTCGGAGGACGGCGTCGTAGACAGGTCCTGGAGAGCGCTGCCGCCGCCGGCGTCTCGCGGCGTCGCCTCCTCCTCGTCGTCCTCGCTGTCCGACAGGCCCAGGACGAGGGCGGACGTCGCCGGCGAGAGGCACGGCGCGGACGCCATGGTGGGGGGCTTGGACACGGCTACGTGTCATCGGGAACAGCCTGGAACAACCAAATGAAAATATTGCTCATGGAAATCACGTGACCGAAGCCATTCGCGTTCGCAAACCGGATCCTCCCAACGGGCGGGCTGGTGGCGCTAAAGCCTTCAACAGATGCTGCGCTGCTGCGCCAATCGATACTAGAGCAGCGTCGCGCCACGTCGCGTCGGAAGCTCGTTCAACCTTCAGCTGGTGCTTGGCGCCCTGCTGCCTGCCGCGCTGCGCGATGACGGACGTGCCCGACGACGACATCACACACTCAGGCCACGGCGCCACGACGGCCCACACCCGCCGACCGCCACTAGGGCGTCAACCCAACCCGGCCACTGCGGGAGGCACCTGGTCCGAGTGGGTGTCAGGTCGTCAGGTCGTCAGCGCCGTGTCAGTGGATGTCAGTGCCGGCGGCGGGCTTTTGACGCCTCTATCGTCGCATCCGGTGGTTGCCTGTGGCTGCCTATGGCGGCCTATGGCTGCCCGTGGTGCCGCTAGCGCGGGGCGCGGCCCGCCCGACTTTTGAACTTTTATGACCGGCCGTATTGTTGGAGTCGGTGCACTGGCGCACTGTGATTGGGTGGCGGGGAAGGGGGAAGTCCAAGTCCGGGAAGCACTGCCCCCCCCCCCTCCTCCTCCCCGCGGCCACTCGATCCATCCTGTCATATCCCACCAGCTGGCCGATGCGTGTGATGTGCTGCAAGCCGACGTGCTTCGTGTTTATCGCGAGCAGTGAGTCCACCGAGGCGCGGCGCGGCAGTCGGCCGTGCAGGCCGTCGAGCAGGCCGTCGTACTGTGGCGGGGCTGGTCTGGGGGTCTCTAGGGAGCGGCGCGGCCCTAGCGCAGCCTGCAAGGCGTGTAGCGGTGAAAGGGTGTGGGGCGTGGGCGGGGCGGGGCGAGACTTCAAAGTGAGGCAGCGGCCCGAGCAAGACCATTCCCGAAAAAGATTTCCCCCAGGTTGGCTGCGGGAAAAAAAACGTGTGTTCGAGGAACGCGATGAGCGCGCGCGCGCTCAGCGAGACAGGTACAATTTAACAGCATCGGCAAAAAAAGAAAACCGAACTACTTTTTCCCGTTTTATGAAAACTTGGGAATGTCGCTTGAGATGGAGTGCGCGCTGTGGACACTGGCATTGCAAAGCAACGCCCACCGACTGAGAGGGAAGTCCAAGTCCGCTCGGCCCGCGCGTTTCCCTACCGGCCGAACGGCCAACGCCCTGCACAGGGACCGGAACGACATTCCCCCTCACAGCCCACACCCGGATTCGCGAAACGAAGCGGAAACTACAAGAAACCTTCCAAAACAATCCCCCACCCCCACCAAAAAAACAATCAGAAAGTAAAGATCGAAGGAAATCTGTAACCTTCACCGCCAGGACCTCCCCCCGGCGTAGGCGAACCCGGAGGTGTGGAGGGAAGCAGCGGTGGGGCAGGGCGGGTTGGCGCCGGGGGCGGGGCGGGGTGAGGCGGGGTGGCTGTGAAGTTGAAGGGCAGGGCGTGGCGGGGCGGGGCGGTGGGTGGCCGCCGCACGCGCGGCGAGGCAGGGCGGGGCAGATCAATGTTCCATGCTGGGGTCCAGGGAGGACTCCAGCGAGACGCACTGCCTGCCTCCGCCTCGCCTCGCTGCATGACGAGACGACGAACACTGCGCCGCCGGGGGATGCGGACGCCCTGCTGACGGCTTGCTGATGGACGAGGAAGAATGAATACCGGAGAGAGGGGCCCGGGTCCATTCATCACGTGGGGAGAACTTTGGCGTCGCAGCGAGTCGTCCGCAGTGCACCTTGCAGTGCACTACACTGTCCGCGGAAATATGCAAATGGGGCGCCGGCCGAGGCTGATTAGCTCGCAATAAAATCGGCCAGGTGTGGCGGGAGGTGCGTGCGGCGCGGGGCGGAGTGGCGCGCGGCCGGCGGGGTGACTTTGACTTATCGAGCGTCAGGCCTGCGAGTTCGTGACACCGGGGTAATTTTATCCGGCACTGTTCGCTCCGCCGCGCGCCGCCAGTCTGATCAAGGAGACCAACGAGAGCCCCGGAAAGGCCGCGCTAATCAGCGACCTGGCCGAACCTGTCTCTCTCGCACCCGCGGGGCGCCCCGTCGGGGTGCGAGAGAGACAGAGCGACCGCTCGCATCGTAATCAGCCTGCTGGCGGAGCATGGAGCGCGGTGACGTGGCGGTCTGGTTTGAAAGGCGGGCGGGGCGGCCCCTCTCGGTTACAGCCTGCTGCAGGAGTGCAGGGGCATCTGGCCCTCGCCTCGGTTGCCATGGCCACCGCGCCCCGTGCACTTCGCGCAGCACAAGGGCCCCGATAAGCCACCGAACCGCGGCGCGGCCGTAAAGGCCCTCGCTGTGGTGCCGCCAGCCCCGCCGCCGTAGGGGACCGCCGGCGCCAAGTTTTGACTGCGCGTCCACGTCGTCTGGCCGCCGACGGCGGGGGCGACGACTTGGCGAACGAGTTCCTGCGCGCCTCCATGTCCCCCGTGCCTGGCCATGGCCTGGCACTCACTCCAGCGCCGCGGCGCCCCGGCGGGGCGGGTGGTTGAACCCGCGCCCAAGCACCACCGTGGTACCCTCCGGGCGGGGGGCGGGGGTAACTTGTTGCAGCCAACCTCCGGAGGGCGATTTGGAGGTGTGGGGGGAGGGGGAGGGGAGCATCGCGAGGAGGAGCACGGCGTACTGGGGCGTAATGGCTCTGCAGCAAATAGACGTAAAGTAGAACAAACCCAGGACGGCCTGCTCGGCCTGCTTGGACCCTCCGAGGGGTGCGGCCGCACTCGGGCCGCACGCACCACGCTCGAAGAACGCAGACCGCGACGGCTACGTGCCGTACACGCACTCGCACTGCACTACGCGTACTGCTCGGAGCCGGCCGGCACATTATTCCTGTCGCTTTGCTATTTCTGAGGTTCGTACTACGCGCTCCCCTCCGCGCGCTGCGCGCTGCGCCCCGCCTCGCAGGCTGGACCGCGGACGTACGCGGTGAATCGCACTGCAGTCCCTGGACCGGCGTCGCCTGTCTCTCTCGCACTCGCGGGGCGGCCCGTGGAGGTGCGAGAGAGAGCGACAAAACGCCCCGCTCGGAATCGGTGTGCGTGCTGTGGTGCGGGCCGCGCGGGATTGGCCGTGCGGCTCGGCTGGCCCGGCTAGGCTATTTCTGAATAGGTCCGGCGTCTTTGATTGGCCGCGGGAAGGAGAAGGATAAGGGAAAGGAAGGCGGCGGAGCAGCCAAGCAGAAGCCAGAGGCAACATTTATTTACCCGCGCCCAAAGCGGACCCGCAACCCGCGGGCACACTGGCACACGCAGTGCACAATACCAACAACCAACGTTGTCGGAGTGTTTGCAAGCGATGCCTGCCGGCTGGGTCGCTCTGTCTCTCTCGCACTCGTGAAGCGCCCCGGATACCCGGTGGCCGCATTTCACGCGACTTTGAATTGGTTTTCGATCTTGTATTTTTGGCGCGCTTTGACAGTGGACTTCCCTCCTCGTGGAGCGTGCGTCGCCCTGTCTCTGTCGCACTCCCACCCAACCCCCATGAGTGCGACAGAGACAGAGCGACGAAACGATACGAAACGATCCTTCGAAATCGCTATCACGCCGGCCGGGCCAGGCGGACATCCGCGCTCCGTGCACGGCATTGTTTCCGCATCCGGGGGTCGGGGGTCGCCGATGAGAGAAACAACCGTGATTAAAACGGCGAGCGTAATGACGCGTGTCGGGGCTCTCGGGTGTCGTTCGGGTGTCGTTCGGGTGTCACTCGGGAGGGGCCGATCAGTGGAATCAGGCGGCGGCGTGCCCTCGCGCGTGAAATGGCACGCCAGGTGTAAACAGGGACGCCCTTGTCGTGCCGAGTGCCGCACCAGGTCGCACGCAGTGCGCACCTTTTTACCGTTTTTCCCTTTTCCAGCAGTGTACTTAGTCGCGCTGCTTAGGCCTGACTGGGTAATCGCGGGGGACGCTCAAACAATGGCACTACGTACACTCGAAGACGGGCTGGTTGCGCTGGGTGCCGGGCTGCGCCTTGGGCTGCACCAACGAGGCCCTCGGTCTCGGTTCAAGCAGCTCGCTGCAGGCCTTGCTGCAGGCTGCGGGTGTCGGCACACAATTTCCGACACGGAACGGTGCGCCCGCCGTGGGGCCACGACGGGCCACGAGGACTGTACAGTATTTAGTTGCTCGGTACCAATTTTGCCAACACCCACTCACACAAACACACACACACACACACACGTGCACGAAGGCGCATGCGAGGTGCCCATGCGATGCATCGAGCAACGAGAGAGACAAATAGCAGTGTCGTCGCGGTAACGAAAGAGCGAGATGGCCAGATAGCCTCCCCTCGTGGCCCTGGCGCCGCCTGGCGCTACATCAATTGTACACCCCGCAGCAGCCGCAACAATTCCATCACCGTCATCATGAACAATGCAGACACCTCTCCCTCTCGAACCACGCCCTTCATTTGTAACGCGCCGCCCCGACGGGGTGCTCGGCAAGCAAGGGCAGCCACCCCCGCGAGTCCAGCGCGTCCCCGTCGTCCCGTCCCCGTCCCCGCCCTGGAGGGAGGGGGGAGGGTGCGCTGCAGCGGCGCCACTGTTTGCGAGGCGCCCTTTCGCGGCAACTGAAGGACTCGTCATCCACTTACGTCCTCGCGGAAGGGGGGGGGGGAGGGCCGGCCCCCTCCTTGACCTACCGGCTCATCTCTGTATGCACTCTGTACGTACCCCCCGGCCCCGGCCGGCAGCCCCGGCCGCCCCACAGCCATGGATGCAAACAAGAGACTGGGACACTGTGTGTGAATCAAGCCAGGCCACTGTGCTGAGACAGAGATAAGAGCGCTATCAAACTCCTTGAAGACTTCGGCCCACACTCGGACAACCGCGGACAACCGTAACCACTGTCACCGCGTCGCAGTCGCAAAGTATACTCCTTGACGGCCTACAGGGGGAAGGCCCGGTGCGTGCTTCCGCCATCATGTTGGATGCCTTCGTGCCGAGAGGGTTTTAGCGGGACCCCTTTCTCCAAAACACGTCTCGTCTCGGCAGCCCCAACCCGGCCAACCCAGCCCGCGTGCCGTGCCGTGACCTTTGATGGAGCACGCGAATTGGGGGAGGAGGGGGGGCACGCAATAGTGCTCGTCACGAGACAATGCGTCCCCCCCTTTTTCCACGGGCGCGTTCCCACCCCTATCAAAGCCGTGGAAATCATTGCAGGCGGCACGAAGTCCTACGGGCAGAGTCCCTGCCACGGCCCTCGACGGCCCGCGCCCCGAAAAACCGACCGCGGCGTGCAAAATTCACGAGCCACAGTGCGTCGACCTGGCCGAGCCCTGGCGGAGCCCTGTCCGGCAGGGTGGGGCGTCCACTGCCGTCCGCCGACCACGCACAGGGCGTCCACGGCTTGTCTGGCGGCAATCCGTCCTACCTGTCTGGCCAGGTAGGCGTCGTCGCGGTCCATGGCGCCGCTGACGCGTCGCTGACGAGCACGTGGGCGCCGCGGCCGGGGAGGCGCCGCGCGCTCCGTCCTCGCCGTCCTCGCCGTCCTCGGTCCGGCAATGTGCTGCGGGGCGTCGGCGCGGCCGGCCCGGCGTCGGCCGCCGTGCGTCGCGCGGTGGGCGGAGCGGGCGGAGCGCTGGGCGTCGCGGCGCGCCCTGCCAGCGAGAGCGCCGCTCCCGGACTGCCCCAACATTGAGACGCCCCGCGCCGCGCCGCCAGCCGCCGCTCCGCGGCAGCGCCGCCGTCCCCGCCACCCGCCACCCGCCGCGGCGAGGCGCCTGCTTTACCGCCCCTCTGGACCACCCCCGCGCGCCGCCCTCCGCCCCCGCCGCCCCCGATCCAGTCAGATCCGCCTCCAGCTCCGGCGGCGGCGGCCGGCGGCCCCAAGGTTGCCATGGCGACGGGAGGCAGGGCGGCGGGGCGGCCTGCAGGGGTGCACTCACCCTTGCTACAACGTTGCGTCTCCGCCGCCCCCGCGCCGCCCTGGCCCGGAGGTGCGACAAGGACAGCGTCTGTTTGCTCACTCTCCGCTGGAGCGTGATGAACCAGTCGCTCTGTCTCTCTCGCTCCACTACGGAACGCCCCGTGAGTGCGAGAGAGCGAGAGCTGCGAAAGCGCAGCAGCTTGTGGCCGTGCGCAGCCGTGCGCCACGCCCTAACCGCGAGGTAACCACCGCGACAGCAGCGACAGCGGTAATGCCGAAAGATACACGGCGGCAAACACAGCGGGCAGGCGCCTCGGCGACACAGCCGGGACCGAACCATCGAACCATCGATTCCACCACCAGCCCCGAGCCCCGGTCCGACAAACTTGACAGACTCCCCCGCCGGCCGGCGCTATTCTCTCTCTTACCGTCTGAGAATCCAGTGTAATTACAGCCCCCTCACACACGCGCGTCCGCGGCGGCGACTCCCATTTGTTTTTTTCGGTAATTGCGTCTCGTTTTTCTCTCTCTTTTCCTCGCGGGTTTTGTCTCCGATCCTATTTCAAGCGTTTCCCTGGTTTCCCGCTGCAGCTCGCGCCGCGTCCGTGATGACTGGCTGCGAAGTGATTCGGAGCAGTGCCTTCGTCGCTCTGTCTCTCTCGCACTCACGCGGCATCCCGCACGGGCGCGAGAGAGACGGAGCCCCGTTCGGAATCAGCCTGCCCCTAATGCGAGAGCAGCCACCCGACACCTTCGCTGCGGTGGACGCGGCGTCGACGGCGACCCTCGCGGCCGCCGTCCGTCCGAGTGTGGACGTGAAGGTCCGAGACCAAAGCGGCGGACTGGTACACTGCTTCCGCCGCGGCGATCGAGTCCTTTGGCGTGTACCAGTGTACCCGCGGCGCCGCGTGTTCTGTGTACGACAACGTCGTGCCGCCTTCCCTTCCCTTCCCCCTCAAACAGACGCCTCTGCAGACGCGGCGCACGCGGCGAGGCGCACTGCGGTGATTGAGACACGCAACAGCGATGTCAGTGTCGCCGTCTGTGTCGCTCCCTCAACGACTCCATCTGTGACATCAGCGCCGCGTCGACTAGACGGCCTAGACGGCGTCGTGGGAATGCCGTCCAAATTACGCCTCTTTTTCCTCCCTTTCCATTTTTTATCCGTTTTTCTCGGGCCAGCGGCGTGGCGTGTCACGCGCCGAGGCACCCCCGGGGCTTCCCTCGCGGCCCGCTCCCTCCGAACCGAGCCGAGCCGAGGCCGGCCGAAGCGGCTTCGGGAACCCTCGGCTGCGACCCGAAGTCCCGAACCGCGGGGGAGGCTTCAAAGTCGGTGGCGTGAAGCGTAAACAAAGTGCGGCGCCAACGAGGGCCGCACACACAGGGGTGGCGGTGGCATGATCGAAAAGTTAATCGCTGGGTCAACTCACTAAGACCCTCGCCTCGCCCTCACGCACTCCAGGGCGTGCAGCGAGCTGCAGAGTGGCCTACAGTGGCCCAGCGCGTGCCTTGGGAGTTGACCTTCGGAAGCGGAAGCGGAAGTTGAGCCGGGAGACGGCCGAGAGGGTCAGACCCTTGGCGGCAGTAACTTAGAACTCCAATCAAAATTGCAGCGACGACCCCGACGGATCATTGCCCTCCAAATTCGTATTCGCATAGTGAAATTGTCATCAGTGGGCTCAGGTAGCCCGATGGATGCGATTAGTTTCCATCGGGGAGGCTATAATCCGTACGGAGTTCATAGTCCCTCATTCGTCACCGCCCGTCAATTGTAATGGTAAGTTAATACCGCACAACTGATGACAAATTTCAGTAACGGTCGAGGTGGCCGACTAACTGAAACAGCAACCGTGGCCGCCTCCGAGAAGTACGGCGACCAGGTTCGCGTCGCGACCACCAGATGGCACGTGTGCCGGCCCAGCTCGCGGCCCGCGGTGGCGCCTCGCCACTGCTAGCGCCGCGGAGCGGGCCGCGCCCGAACTGCGTCGCCGCGGACCTCGCCAGGGCTGAGCGCCCGGTGCGCAGACAACCCATCCGGCACGCGCGCAGGAGTGGTGGACTCGCAGGCTGAGTCCGCAACGACACGCCGACAGTGTAGGGACCGCACTCGCGTTGAGTGTTCCAGCGTGCCCGGGAATGGAGTCCGCGCAGAACAGCTTGTCGGCGGGGCGAGTGGAGCAGGCCAACAGACCAGCGTGGACTCCGCTCAGAGGAGGAAATTCCGTGGGCGAATGAGTAGTACATTGTAGGAGAGTGTGGTAACCTGAAAGGGTCCCTGCGATGACTGGCAGGACGAGGACGAAGACGATGCCATCCCGGAGGGCGTGGCGACGGATGCTGCTGCAGTTACTCTTGTGCAACCCGAGGGCGGGGCGGGGCGGGGCGGGGCGGGGCGGGCGGGGCGGGGCGGGGCGGGGCGGGGCGGGGCGGGGCAGCTCGTCCTGATGTGCCCATTTCGATGTGCCCGGCCCGGCCCGGCCCGGCCCCGCACTGCCATCGGAGGCGTCTGCTTCACCTGACGGCCGACGGTTTATCTCGATGGGCCGTCTTTACTTCACTTTCGTCTTCTTCGCGTGCAGTGGCAGTGCTCCGGGGACTTGACTTTCTCGCCCGCTTTTTGTCAGTGCGCTAATGAGAGTGGGTCGAGGCGGGGCGGGGCGGGGCCGGCGATAAACGCAAAGAGCTAAGACGGTGTTGACCGGAAAACGGCATCATGCACGAGGCGGTGTGCATGACGGCCTGCATGACACGGAGTGCGAGTGCGTGGTGTCGGCCGGTGATAGCCACGTTCACGGCCACGGCTGCCACGGCCCTGCCGAGCAAATGAGCCACTCCGAAGTGCACTCCGCTGGTTCGGTCCAGAATCCAGACATTGGAGCCGCTACCCTGGTGTGTCTGTCCGTCACTCCGTCCACGTGAGAGTCTGCCTGTCTGTCCGTCTAACAAACACAAATGAGCTGCCTGCCGACTGGCGGACTCGGGCCATGCAAATCCACGCCGCACGACAATCGCTTGCTTCGCTTGCATTTGCAAACGTCTTTGTACTTTGTAGCGGCGGGTTCCGAAGGTCCTAACGTCCTGCCTGCCGTCCAACGGTCTCCGTGCGCCAGCACCGCTAATTTTGAAAAGCGCCTTTGTCACGGACGTGTCACGGACGTGTCACGTGACTCGCGACGCCGGATGGCGCGCGTCGTCCTCGGGGAATTCCACGGGGGAGTGGGAGGGTCGTTCGACTCCCGGCGCCCTCCCCATTTTCATTCTGCGGGCGCTCGGCTCGGCTCGGCGCGGGCCTCGGGTGCGAGAGAGACGGAGACAGGCAGGTGCAGACAGGTGCGTGGCGCGCGCCCGCCTGCCATAAGCCGCGCGCTCTACTGTCCGCGAATGTGGTCCGGCCCGGCTAGACACGGCTAGACACGGCTCGCGGTTCCAGTCACGTCAGACGAGTGGTCGCTCTGTCTCTCTCGCACTCGCGGGCCAGCACTGGCGCTCCGACGGGGTGCGAGAGAGACAGAGCGAGAAGCCCCGCCACGCACTTCGCGCTTCGCGCATGCCAGACCGCGGCCCGCAAAACCGCACCGACCGGCAAACCGGCACGGGAAAGTCTCCGGATTTCAAAATCAAAATCGCGTGACGAAATGGCAAGAGTTGGAGGGATTGAAAATAAACTAGGTAGACCAAAGTCAGACACAAATTTTGTTTATTTAAAAAAAAAGGCACACCTCCACATTGCTGGATGGAGGTTTATGTACAGAAGAATACTGCCAGTTTATCCAAGGAATCGACCTTGATTCTCATACAAATAACATCACATTACAGTTATTTACAAAAGCATACAAAGTAAAAAGTTTGTACATACATTAGCAGAGGAAATGCATTCCTTGTCAATTATTGACAAACAACATGGTAACAATTTAACTTAAAGGAACAATTAAATGGTCACATATGAAAAACAGGATGACTTGTTTAACACACCAGTTTGAGGGGTCAGTCTTATTGTCTAAAATATATCAATATGTACAACACCTGCTCAAACGTAAAAGTAAGTTTAATATACAATGACTTAACCGGATTGGCACAATAAAGGATAAATTAGAATAAAGCATTGCTGTTAGAACTCAACAAGCTTTCCGCTCTAAACTGAGTACCTTTGAAAAGAGTTTCACTGGCTTCAAATAATACCCGTTAGAATAAATAAATTGCAGCAGGTACTAAGAGACTGATTGAATTCTTATTGGAACCTGTGCCTCAACAGATCTAGAATTCCACAGTCTTATCTAATTTAGAACATAAATAAATGTTAAATCAAAACATAAGCGTAAAATAATTCTTAAGGCATTCTTTTTCTTTTAGCAAAAGTATCTAAGCACACAAATGCATGCATAAAAAAACATGTTTTTTTTTCTGAAACAAAATCAAAATTAAAAATCTAAAGTCAAATAATTAAAAAAAAAAGATGGACTTTAAAAAAAGAAATCATTTTTGAGTGAAACATTCAACAATGCTTTAACTCTTTGGTGTGTCTTAAAGGAGCAGCCAGCCACACGCAGCTTCCAAAACACACACTAAACGTTCCATCAGGATATGTTACGTTACATAGCAAAACCCCAGCTGCCCAGAGACAGCGCAAAACAACTAAATCAGACATCCTCGAACAACTCGTCAATTCCCTCTGCTGCTCCTTCTGTCTTATCAGTCCAGGTTATTAATACTCACGAATGAGTACAAGTAGTAGCACAATGAACACAACAGCTGTAAAATCAAATCATCACCGCACACTTGACTGCAGGGGCAGAAACATGCGGTTTGTACAGACTAACATTACAATGTTAAATCATCCCCCTGGCGCCCTTCACAAACAACTTGGGCACACTTGAGTGAGGTGGGATGCAGGGTGGGTGGGGCGGGGAGGGCGCACGCTGTCATGGCAGTGGCGGTGTCGCGGCGTCGCGGCGTCAAGCTTCACGACGACGGCCTTCTTGTAGGCGGCGACCAGGGGCTGGTCCGCGCCGTCCTCCAGGTCCTGGTCCTGGCCGCGATGCACGTGCACCTGGGCGTCGACGCGGACGTCGAGCAGTCCCCGCCCCTCCTCGGGTCAGCAGGGCGTCTCGGAGTTGGGCGGCGGCGGCACGCCGTTGCCGTTCACGCCGTTGCCGTTGAGCTGCAGCTTGGCGGGCGTGCCGTTGGAGGTGGTGGTGGTGGTCAGCGAGTCCGGGCCCATGGACGGCGGGCCCTGGCTGGTGGACGACAGGTGCAGCGCGCGCCGCGACGCCTCGGACCGCGACCACCGCGACTCGCGCAGGCACCACAGCCTCTTGACGGCGGTCCACACGTGCGGCTGGCAGCCCACCACGGCGAAGATGAGCACGCCCTGCAGCGCGTTCACCGCGTCCACGGCGTACCACACCTCCTTGGGGCCGCCCGCCACCCAGGACACCACGTCCACCACCCACGTCACGCCCATCACCACCACCAGCTTGAGGCACACGCGGCGCAGCGTCGCCCTGCAACAGTCAAACAGCACAAATGAAGAACGAGACAAAACGACGCGACCTTCAAAAGGTGACGAACTAAGACTCACCTCTCCGTGGTGGGCTTGGCGCCATCCGCCTTCCACAGGCCGCAGGTCAGCTCGCGGGCCGTGAGGATGAAGAGGCACAGGTTGATGAGCAGCAGGATGCCGAGCGGCCCGAAGAAGTACGGCAGCACCTCCGAGTCACCTGCGCCGAAAAGCACGCGTCAGCACTCAGAAGGAACAAGGGCGGTCTCTCTCTCTCTCTCTCTCTCTCTCTCGGGTCCGCGTCGGCGACCGAAGGCCAGGCCCCGGGTGTCTCCCTAAAGTTGTTACTAACGGCCACCGATATCGGCTATCCTTGGCTCGTCCGCGTCACTTTCGCCGTTGACGAGATACCCGGCAGCACAGCGTTCTTGTCGCTCCGTCTCTCTCGCACCCCCACGGGACGCACCAAGAGTGCGAGAGAGACAGAGCGGCGGCTGAAACATTCATTTCCCCCGCGGCGGAGTCGCGGCAGCCACATTCCGCGAGCGAGGCACGGCAGTGCGAGTGCGTGCAGTGTAGCGTGCAACCAGCCGGTAGCTGTAGAGGCTGTAGGCAGTGTAGTGGCCGAGCGCGGAGCCGGAGCCGCGACACATGTCCCCGCTACGCGTTCAGCGAGGGTTTCACCGCGTCCGAGGCTTGTCGAGTGCGATTGTCGAGAAGCTGATGTTCTCCCAACCGCAGCCCCGCCCCGCCCCGCCCCGCCCCGCCCAGCCGGCAGGAGTCTTCGGTACGCCACAACACATTCACTCTCTCCGCCCGCGACGACGACGACGATCCCTCAGCAGCCATTTCATTTGTGAATGTCATTTACGAAGAAACTCGCGGAAACAACCCAACCGCACCGCCCATCTTTCACGTCTTTCGTCCGTCCGGCCGACCGATTCCAAGAGTCGTTTCCGTCGCTCTGTCTCCCTCGCACACCATGGGTGTGAGACAGACAGAGCGACGAAGACGACTCGGCCTGCCGGAGGACGCCGTCGACGCCGCTATGCAGTGTATACGCACCTCGGAACCAGCACTTGTTCTGTCCGAAGCCGGGCCGCAGCAGGTGCGGGTACTCGTCGGCGGGCAGGTGGTCCAGGGCGGCGGCCACCCCCGCGATGACGAGCGGGCCGCCCCACGCGTACGCCTCGTACAGCCGCATGCGCACCACCTCCTGGTTCTTGTCCACGCTGGCCGGCCGCAGGTCCCTGTCAACAACAACAACAACGTTAGAAGCAGTTCGCTACACTCTGAGAGCAACAACAACAACGTTAGAAGCAGTTCGCTACACTCTGACAGCAACAACAACAACGTTAGAAGCAGTTCGCTACACTCTGACAGCAACAACAAGCCCTCCGTCGGCGGCTGAAAGTGCGGAGTGCGTCGTGGGGCTTCCCTGGGTGGCGGCCACGCCCCCGCCGCCCCGATGTGGTCCAGAATGCAGGCCGGCGCCCCCCGCCCCGCCCCGCCCCGCCCCGCCACTGACCCATAGCGCCGGCCGAGCCGTGGCCGAGCCGTCGTGATCCTGGCGTCCGCACCCAAGCCAAGCCAGAGGACTCTCGAGCAGCCGAGCCAGTGAAAGGGGCTCATCCTCATCCTCGGCGATGAGATGAGATGTAGAGTGGCGCGGCCGGACGGGCCGACAGGCCGGCACGGCACGGCACTGTAGAGCGCAGCGCGGCCGTGCGAAAAAGGAGAAGAAAAAAGAGAAATGAGGAAGAACGAGAGCGAGCGAGGAAACAAAAACGGAACAGGACGCGCTGGTCAGTGACGCGCCCCGCCCCGCCCCGCCCCGCCCCGCGCACATCCGCCCCGAGTGGGTGGCAACTGGGAGGCAGCAAAAACTAGCCACCGCGGATAATCACTTTACTCGTTACAAAAACAACTAAATTTGAAATAATTTACTATGATGAATGAAAAACTTTGGGAAAATGAAGCTGCGAATTCCAGGCTGACCGCACGAATCCAGGTCGCCTGGTCGGCAGGCGGGCGTGACACCGAAGAGACACTGGCGTGACACCGGCGTGACACAGGCGCACGGACACGGCGGGCAGGATCGCGGTCCGAAGTGGAGCGTCCGCGTCCGCGCGGTGACACGCACACGGACCGGGCACGCCGGCAGGCCCGCATGTCTCGCTCTGTCTCTCTCGCACCCCAGCGGGCCGCTCCACGAGTGCGAGAGAGACAGAGAACCGCGGGCGAGGCGAGCCTGGGCGAGCCGGAGGCGCGGTATGGACGCACCACCCCGCGGCTCCGCGGCTCCGCGGCGCGGACTTATTTATGGACTCGTGTTTGCGGCATTCCCAGGCATTTCTCGCTCTCTCTCGCTCTCGCTGCACCGCCTAGAGCCAGGCAGCCAGGCCTCGTGACCTCTGGCGAGCCATTCCGGAGGATGGCTCTGTCTCTCTCGCACGCCGACGGGGCGCCCCGTGAGTGCGAGAGAGACAGAGCGACGGAAAGGCCCTTCGGGTGGCTCGGCTAAGGAGACGCCTCACCATGTTTGCTTGCAGAGAAACGTTCGCGCCGCCTCCCACAGCGCGTCAGCGTGAGTGAGTGAGTGTGTGAGTGCGAGTGAGTGAGCGAGTAAGTACGCGAGTGAGCGCATCTCTCGGCGCGCGACCGGCCTACACAAGCAGGAGAGAGGAGTTGCAGTTGGCAGTTTTACCTCGCCGCCAGTGTAGTAGCAGTCTGTGTTGTGTATACGTACAGTGAACGTGCGCAGCGGCAACCCGTTTTTGCCGCGAAAGAGGAAAACAAAAATACACGCGGCTCAAATTACGAGCACAGCGGAGAGTATTTGTTGGCCATCGAGGCCCATTCCCGCATTCCCATTTCCGTTCCGAAGACGCTCTGCAGTGTGCACGCAGTCTCGACGACGGCGACGCCCTGCCAGCAGACTCATTCCGAGAGTCGTTTTCGTCGTCTGTCTCTCTCGCACCTGTAAGGGACGCCCCATGAGTGCGAGAGAGACAGAGCGACTCCAGCCGGCGCCACTTTCCACACTCGCGTGTCCCCGCCGTGTAATATTCTAGAAAATGATACAAAGACGGACGGACCGACAAAAATGCCGGCGCGGCCGGGGAGGCCCGGCGGCCCTAGAGGCGGCGGGGCCGGGTGGGGCGGTGGCCATCTACCCCGTCATTACCTTTACCTTTACCCAGGGCAGCGAAGAGCCGGCAACGCCGTGCCTCTCTGGCCGCGCCGCCGTGGCCGTGCAGGCCGTGCCACTGCCCCGTCCCGTCGGTCCGGACTCCGGCCCTACCGCTCCAGCTCCTCTAGCGCACTCCGGCTGGCAGCCCGTGCAACGACCGCTTCCAGACCCGTACAGGGGCGGGGCGTGGCGGGGCGGGGCGGGGCGGGGCGGGGCGCGGTGGCTAGCGGACGACCTTGTGGGGCCTTGGGCCGGCTGCCGGCTGCTGGCTCGGACAGGGGCGGGGCCGGCGGGCAGGGACGCCGAGCACGCCGAGAACGCGCCGTCGAGAAGCCAACGCGTTCACCAAACCGCACCGCCACTAACGGACAGCACACAGCCATGCGGCACTTTTCTCCATCCGTTTACTGGCATGCGACATTTCATCACTGCGCTATTCGCCCCCTTGCAGTGGGAGTTTTGTTCTAAATTCGTTGGTCTCGCCTGCTTGCGCGTCGGCCGGCCTGGACGCCTTCTTTGGCGGGCAGTCCGACCAACTTGGCGAAAGAAATTGGCGCCGTTCCCACCCCGCCCCTTTCGCGCCAAAATGGCAGAGTGTAGTGGCAGGCCTGGTCCGGCCGCTAACGAGTGCCTCCGTGCCGTTTCGGCCTTCGGGGTGGGCTAATGGCACGGGGAGTTTCCGGCCGAGGGGTTGGCAGCGACACACGGCCCGCCGGCCAGCCAGCCAGCCGGGCAGACCGAGCAGCCAGCCACCTGTTAATTACCCGACCCACATTATCGCCGAATAAAGGCGGGCCCTGCTTGCTCTGCTCCAACGTGGGAAGGTTGGCCAAAGTGCCCTCAACAAAGGGAAGGGCCAGCCAAAGGACAGGGCCCTCGGGTCGCTTTTTCGGTCGGCGACGTTGGCGCCAGCGCGGCTGCGACACTGTGAGCGACACTGAGGCACCGCGGCCACGCCACTCGAAACTTGAAAAGGCAGATCGGCGGTCCGAGGCGAGAGACGGCGAGAGCGCCTTTGGTCGCCCGTTGTCCTTCGGTTGGTGTCATTGGTGTCTTTCACACCTCCGGGCCTTATTTATTGGGGGCGCCTCTGGCTGCCAGCTCGGCCGGGCCGGCCGGGCGGTGGCGCTTCTTCGAGCTTCCAGTGCCCAGGTACAGTACCGCGCGGGCTTGGAATTCCACCACAGTGACAAAAGTGAAACCGTCGTCGGGCAATTGCAATCCTCCCGGGCAGGCCAACAAAGGGGCGGCCATGCTGCACGCACAGGCATTCAGTCGGACGGCAAAAATCCCCCCCCTAAAAAATAAAAAGTGACAGTGGTAGTAAGCATGAAGCGCCTACAGTGTAGTCGTGCAAAATAACTATTGGCAATCAGTGCAGGCTACTGGCGGCGAGAGCGTGCGCGAGAGCCGGGCGGAGACCTCAACGCGCGCGGAGGCGAAGAGCGACAGAGACGCCGCGCGTCGCATCTCTTTCCAACTTCAACTGAGGCCGCCATCGGTTCCCCGCCTACACTGTAAGTACGTACAGTGTACTGTACTTCCGAATCGCATTGCTTCTTCGTTAGGGCAGTGGGGCGGACGGCGGACGGGCACGCACCTGCAGCCGTGGGACCGCGAGGCGCCGCGGGGGCGCGTCGTCTCTCTGTCTCTCTCGCACCCGTGCGGGCCGTGCGGGCCGCGGGAGCGAGAGAGACAGAGAGGCCGGGCGGGTCGCTAAACAAAGCTGATCAAACAAGGCGGCCGCGGCGCCGCGGCGTCGTGAAGGGAAGGGAAGGGAAGGACGACCAGGGAAAGCGGAGGGCTCTGTGGCTCTGCCGCTCGGCTCGTTCTGCAGCGACACGCCAAAGTCAAGAAAAGTGGACCGCGGTCGACGCCTACACTGTGCCAAACGGCGCGTTCCGAAAAGCGCGTTTGAATTTGGCGGCGGCGGCGACGACGCGGCGGTCATTCCCCCAGTGCAGTGGCCCGGCCGGAACGCCCCCTCCGTCGGACCGGACGCGGACGCCTCGCATAAAACGCGCCACTGTAAGCGCGGCTAGCGCGGCGTGCTTCGCGACGCGTGCGCGTGTGTGGTCAAGCGGCGTCCAGCGGGCCGCGGCCAAGCGGCCAATGCACGCCCACCGCGCCGCGCCTTTATTGCATACTCAAGTCATCATCCGGCCATCGCTTGGCCCAAAGCCGGCGGCCTGCATCCTGCTGCTGCATCCCGCGCGAGGGCAAGGACCCCGGCAAAGAGCCCGCCACCCCCGCGGTGCGCGCGGTGACGGTGTGGGGGCAGCCAGGGGCGCCGGCGGCGAGGGGTGGTGTCCGCAAGGCGCCTGGTTCCCCCAAAAGGACCGCCCCCACACAGTGTGCTGCCCCTTCCCCCTTTCTCCCACCGGGTGGCCGTCGGACATGGCACTTTGACGACTGCTTCCGGCCGCCGAACGGCCGAACGGCGAGCCACACGCACCTGCCCCCCTCCCCCAAAACCGGACGCCCACCAAGACAATAACGGATCGAACTCCTTTCAAAACGACGGCCGACGATTCGGAACAAGTGTTTTCATTTCCAGGCCGAAGCGCGTGGCCGCGTGGCCGCGTAGCTCGTGCCCGCCGCGGGGAGCGACGGAGCGACCAGCAACAGGACGGCCTGCTTCGCGTCATGCCGCGTCGCGTCGCGACCGCGCTGCCGAGCCATTCCACGGCGTTCCTGGAAACGGGTGGGCGGAGGCCGACGACCCGCGGCCAACTGACTGCGGCCTCAGAACGATGACAAACGCGTGGAAATCGTTTGGTGCGCGCTTCGCGCCGACTTTCGGCAGCCACTGCGTCTGGTTCAGGCTGGGCTTCGAACTCCCTCTACAGTGCAGTATCGGCAGACCGGGTCGTTCCGTCCGTTCCCAGGAAGGCGGCGGTGCAGCGCTGCGGCACTGCAGCGGGAAGCGGGACGTGCATTTCCATCTTTCCCGACCTCGTCTTTCTCTTTGCTTTCACCGACCGCGCGGCGCGCGGAGCGTGCGCACCGCGACGACGGAATGCCACGCCGCCGTCGTCGCTGCACGTCGCCGTCGAC